TTGTAATAAGGAACAAAAACATGGACCAGGAGGAAACATCTTTGTTTTGGGAAATATTCCCTCTCAAGATCCTGTTTCTTAAAAAAAAAAAGCACATGTATTTATAAATATGTATTAGGCAGAGAGACCTCCATAAAGATCTCATATAACCTGAGTGTAGCCAAAGCGGCTCAGCCCAGCAGAAAGGTTTAATCTTCAGGCTCAGATACAGCAATGAGGGGCACTGAATAAAAACCAGCATGGCTAGAAAAGCTAATCTGGGACTACACTGGAGCAGACAGGCTGGGCACAAGAGGGACTGCCCTTTCCCTTCACACAAGAGGGTTTCTTCTCAGACACTGCCAAGGTGTGGTGAAAACAGCACTGCTGCTTGTAGTGCTGGTGATACTGAAGCACCTGGCCTGTAAACCAGAGGATGCACATGGAAGCAACTTATTGGTGCCACTTTTACTTTTCCTCCTGTCTCCTCTCCCCACATCCTGCTGCGTGAGGATTTGGGCTCTGCTGCACACAACAGGTTCAGATCTAACATGTGATCCCTTCCACTCGCACACAAATCCTCTGCTTCTGGAGCCCTCCAAAGCCAAAGGGGGCAGGATTTTCTCCTTCGATAAAATCAGACATGGGGAGTTTCCCCTCCCCATCAGCAGGGATCTGGATTTTCTGTTTCCCCGTGGGAAAAAAAACATGTGGATTTTCCCTTTTAACTGAGAAAAACGCAGATTTTTTATTTTAATGGAGAAACGCGGCTTTTCCACTTTTGCAAAGAGCTCTGTGTAGGCTGACAGAGTTCCAGCCTGCAAGGGGTTGGGGGGAGCGGGAGGAGGGCAGTCAGGTAGGGGACGTCACATGTGCATGCGCGCTCACACATGCACATGGCTGCCAGGCAGCCTGGAGAGCAGGTCCCATAGGTAAGTTGGGGGGGGGAGGGGGATGAGGCTGGCTCCTTGCCACTGTGCATACTCCTGGGCAGGTGGGAGGGCATGTGCCCTCCAGATCTGTGTGTGGGACGGGGGCAGGCTGCCCACTGCAGGCTTGAGGCTCCCTGCCCTGCTGCCCTCCCCTCAGTGCCTGCGCAGCCCAGCGGGTGGGACCCGGAGCAGCAGGGCAGAGTGGGGCCGGACAGGAAAGCTCCTTGCTGCTGCAAACCCTACGATGCCCTGGTGAAGCATCCCCTGCCCACCCAGCAGCAGCAGGAGCAGTGGCGCAGAGTTGTGCCCCTTGCTGCTGCTGGGCAGGGAGTGAGGGGCCTGGACCTGCATCCTGGTGAGCCAAGGGCGCAGGGAGAGCTTTGATTTTCCATGATAAAAAACCCAAAATCAAATACCAAAATGTATAGGTACTTAGAATTTATTTTATTATAGTGACTGAGGCACTTGTAGGCTTCCAAAATGCTAAAGGCAAGAATTTCTTTGGGTGATATCTTTTATTGGACCAACTGCATGGTTGGGGTAAGTCAGACAAGCTTTTGAATGCAAGACATGACCTGATGAAGAATGTCTTGTATTCAAAAACTTGTCTAACTATCCCAACTATGTAGTTGGTCCAATAAAAGAGATCACCCAAAGAAATTCTTGCCTTTAGCATTTTTAATGTCAGACACTTTGCTGCCAATCACTTGAAATGGTAATTACTGAGTTAAACTAGGCAACTGCTACAGCAAGGAATTCGCATAGCTCATAATACAACTTCACACAAAGGCATTTTCTTCTTTTTCATCTCTCAGTTTGGTTCCCCTTTCATGCCCAGATTACCTTCTATTACATTATGGGCCTTCACATAACATCCATTGTCACTACTGTTGCTGGCTAATAACACTGTCACTAAAGGCTTCCCCAGAAAACTGGATCCCACCAACACTCTCCAGTGACTTAAAATATTCTGCATGAGGCAGACACACGTGCTAGGTTTTCATATTCCCAATGCCCCAGGCAAAGCTTTGTACAAAATACCGTTGTAAGCTTTGTACAAAACACCGTCGTAATCCAATGCCTCACACTCCAAACACCTGCTACTAGACAAAGCTTTGATTTTTAACCTGTAGTGACACGAATTAAAGCAGTTTCTCAAGAGAAGGAATTTTTCAATATTGCTCTCCTCCCTTGTTATAAAAAAGGGTCTTTCTTCCCCTCCTCCCCCCATTCTTTTCAGGAATAAGGCAAGTTACTTAAAAGTTCTTCAAAAATTAAATAGGGCAAATTTGACATATGAACTACATATGTGAAAACTATTACTGTGGACAGGAGTTGCATGGCAGTAGCTGAGGTCAGAATTTGATTCATAGAAAGTATTAGCAATCGCACTGTAACCAAAACAAGTCTTCTTCAGATCTTATGGTGAATCCATAACAGCCCACTAAATCGGAGTATTATGATCCAATTTCAAACCCATCGAAACAAGGGAATTCCATGAAGTTGCTATAAATCTTAACTCTCTCCCTCAAATATTGCTTGTAAATATATAGATGATATCTATTACCTAATATAAGAGCAGGTAGTACCAAAAACCTTTGTGATGCATAGATTTCACATGGCAAATTGAAGCTAGAGTTTCAGTCACAGATAGTCTCTCTTCTGGGCTTGTGTTTATATTATTTTAAAATAAAGACAGATAGCAACAGGCTTTTTATTACAGAATGCTTCATAAAGCTACTTTGGAAAATATACCTTAGGGTAGATCCCCGCTGCAGAAATACATTCAAGTTAGTCTCAAGATAGCCTAGCTCCAGTAAGAGCAGAATAGTGCGAGACAGCACTGGAGTGGTTTTGGAGTGTTTCAAACTCTTTTGTGTGATGCTGAGAGGTCTGTGAACACATTTCATGTCTTTGCACTACTGTAAGCTGAGCCTCTCTCAATCCTTTCTTGGTAAATTGTGGGAGAACTTGTCTGTCTGTCCTTTCCCAGGTACAGTAAAAGCTCTGTTATCCAGCATCCATGGGGAATGGGGGGTGCTGGTTAATCAAATATGCTGGTTATCTGAGAGTTATGCTCATCTCCAGCCCTGCAGGTTGGAGGCATCTTGGCCCCTTTGGGCCACACCCCCCCCCCCTTCCAGTGCACCAGGGCTTTCACTCCCTGGCATCACTGTGCTGGGGGACAAGGAGTGGGGCCCCATGCAGCCTGCTTTGCCCTGGGCCACAGTCCATGAGGAAGAAGTGGGACTCAGCCTGCGGTGGTGAAACCGGAAGTGCCACGGTGGGACTTCCGGTTTTGCTTTTGCCATGTTGATCGGCAGGGGGTTTTGTTTTTGCCATGTCGATCGGCATGCCAGTTAATACAGCATTCTGGATGGTGAAGTGCCGGATAACACAGCTTTTACTGTACATGGACGTAACTGGACTGCCAGGACTTGAGCCCAGTTTGTCTGCATCTGGAACTGGAGAGTAGTTCTGTTAGCTGATGAGCTATGCTAACTCAAGCTTTAGCCAAGACTCCCCAGCTACAACCAGCCAGCTCCCGCATAAAAGTACCACGCTACTGGAGTGAAGGCCTTTTCGTGCAAGTGGACAAATTACAGCTTGGTATTAACTCCATGGTAAAGACAAGTTTTTATTTACTGATATTGCAATTACCACTGGCATACACTCACACTGAGCTACCAATATTATCCAGATGGACTATGGAGCAGGACACTTGGGTATCCAGTTATCTCACACAAAGTAATTAGGGAGCTTTACATTTTATTGATGGACCCATTAGAGAGGCAAGAAGAAGAGTAATTTAGAGAGCCAATTCCCACAGGGTCAGTTTTATAACATTGATAGTCAGCTAAACTATTAATATTGTGGTCACTTCCAATAATGTGCTGACCTCGGTTGGACACACAAAATGTAAACAATCCAAGAAACCTACACACAGAGCAGATGGGATGGATGGGGAAGAGCAAAGGAAAACCTCTTGTGTATAATGTGACACTGCTGTATAACATCTAACCAAACGGAGGGCCACATGCATTTTTAAAGTTGCTGACTTTCAAGCTGGATAAAATCAGAAGAATAAATAAAAAATTACAGTTAAAGAAAAAAAAAGAATGATCCTAAGATTCCAATGACCTACCAGTGGAACAGACTAATAAAATTCAACATATCTACCAGTGTCTTGACATGTTCATTAAAACACCTTCGCATGATTTATTATAATCTATTCTCAGTACTTGTACCTGCAGCAGTGGTAGAAAATACCATTAGGTACTGTTTGCTCTCTACCCCCCGCCTTTTTTAAAAAAAATCTCCATTATTATACCTGGCCTTCACAACAGGATAGCTTAGGTGGGTGAAACGCTGGGGAATACTGGATGCCTCATGACATGAGATGGTCCTTGGAGGTCTGACACTCCCTGTACCGATATTTTGTCATTGTACCATAGTCCACAGTAGTAATGACAGGGGACAGTGAAACAGAAAAGCCCAAGAAGAGTGGCACTAAGCATTCACAAAGGAAGCCGTAGGACATGCCTGACCTGTTGACTGAGTTCCTGAAGGGATGAAGGCACGGTGCTGAAGAAGTAAATCACTTGTGTCACAGTAATGAGCGTGTATAAATGATTAGAGATGGTGTTGACTACTCTATCCTGACTCCCCCGGAGGCAGAAGATGAGATCACAATAATCAGGGAACTTATGGGGATGAAAGGAAAGAGGGAGAGGTCTGATGACAAAGGGAGCGTCTGAACACTGGCTGGCAGGATGCTGGTCACTTGATCATAATGAAGACAATGATGAACATGTTTTCCCACAATAGCAGGGAAAGGAGAAAAGAGATATGAACAGAAGTATGTATTGAAAAGTGCAATCCTGGCCTCACACCAATGAGCACATGTAGGAAGTCAGCTGATGAAAAGGAGAAATATCTGACAACTGAAGCCCAAGTAGGCAAGGTCAAATTCTATCTCAAACCGGAATTTTTTTCAAAACATGCATAAAAATTACCAGACTCACCTCTGTGCCTTCAAAGTCTATGGAATAAACAATACGTGTGATATAACTGTGATCCTTTACTTACCTGCCAAACACTGTGTGCTTCTTGTCCAGGTACGCACAAGAACGAAATGTGATGAAGCTGGAGAAGAATAAAATCATAACTTAGGGTATGAACTTGTGGAGGTTCAGCAATATTTTGAAAGCCAAGTATGCTTGAGGAAATTCTGCATGGTATCCTGATATGAGGAGATGTAAATCCCTCTCCCGACTGTGGGAATGCACTGCATGGCTCTTGCCAACTGCATTTTCTATGGATTATGTCTGACAAAAAACATGTCTTGATTTGGGGGGGTGAGGGGGGGGTGGGGGGTGTTTGACATCCTTAGTAAAGTTTCATACTCTCTTCCCCCAGACATGCCTTGACTATTTACAACTTTAACCAATGAGTTACAGAAACACCAGCCTCAGATAAATGCCCTCTTCTGAGCATAGTAGGACTACGAATGTCACAGAAGGCAGCAAGACCTCATGGGTCGTGTGTGCATCTGGCAAAGATATTCAGCAGAATCATGATCCATCAGCGCTGATTTTTAAAATCAGTTAATTTTCGCCTTTCCCACTGTTTACATTTGGTTTCTGTGAAACTGGACTGGCCCGTTTATAATCCATGTCTCTTTTTGGCTTGGCAATGTTGTTGCATTTAGCTTGTAAACACAGAACAAGAATATTTAACTTAAATGCTGAAATAATAAAAACATTAAGAAAATTGGTTATTGATGTGATATTTTGTTTCAAATTTTACACATCTTAAAAGAAGACACTAAGATATCACATCTAAAGCAAGTTCAATCCCGCCAGCTTTTCTGAATAGCTTAACAATTTTCTGGAAGCTCCAGAGTATAAGCATACGAAGCAGAGGTTCCCATACTGTGGGCTGTGGACCATGATGGTCCATGGAATAGGCTGGGTATGCAGTGCTGGCTCTCCTCCCTGCTTCCATCTGCTGCACTGCATTAAAAGACAGCTAAAAATACCTCAACATTCTCTTCACAGCACCGCTCCATGTAAGCAACTGTTGCAGTTGTCTTTGGAAGTTATGTGACTGCAAATGTGACCTTGCCTAATTAAACTGGCGCATGTCCATGAGGTACCAGCAGGGGAGATTATGCTGCGGGGCAACCAACATGGGTTCATTAGAGGCAGGTCCTGTCAGACCAACCTGGTGGCCTTCTATGTCCAGGTCACAAAATCCTTAGACACAGGGATAGCAGTGGACGTAGTCTTTCTGGACTTCAGGAAGGCCTTTGACACTGTCTCTCACCCCATTCTTATTAAAAAACTAGGGGACTGCGGCATCGACACCTACACAGTCAAAAGTGTCGCTAACTGGCTGGAGGGCTGCACCCAGAGAGTGGTGGTGGATGGGTCTTATTCGACCTGGAGGGATGTGGGCAGTGGGGTCCCCCAGGGCTCGGTCCTCAGGCCTGTGTTGTTCAACATCTTCATCATCGACTTGGACATGGGGGTGAAAAGCACCCTGTTGAAATTTGCAGATGACACTAAGTTGGGGGGGG